CCTCGGCCTCCCAGAGTGCTAGTATTACAGGCATGAGCCACCGCGCCTGGCCTGGTCTTCATCTTAACTGTGTGAATTTCCTGTATTTCATACATTTTCTGTTTTCTTAACAGGAGGGGCCTTGTCAAAATGAGCATACAAGGAGTAATGGTAGGTATTTCTAATACAGTTTTTACGACTTGGATCAGTAAGGCAGAAGCAGATATATTTGACGTATAACAAGTAATGCAAGGTGACTTGATAGAAAAGATTTAGAAATTAGTGGCAAATTCATTTTTTATTTTAATTCAAAGCAAAACAATGAATGCAGGGATTATACCATCTCTTCTATGGGGTATGGGGAGGGCTGGGTGGTTTGTGCTCTGAAAGCTCAGCATAGCTGACTCTGGGGAATACAGCTGCTCTCCCTCCACCCTTAGAATGAGGTCACTCTTGGTGGGGAGGAGAGGAGCCCCTGGCAGGGCTGAAGCCTGCAGGCAGCAGTGACTGCGGAATGTGCAGTCTGAGGAAGTGTCTTCTACAGAGTGGCTCCAGATGCTTCTGCTTTTCAGAGGGAGACAAGTCAGAGGAGGGACTTGACAGTGTGTATTTAGTGCCCAGAAACCATGACCTTAGGAAAATATTCCACAATCTACCACTGGGCTATACTGCTTATGAACAAACAGGTTTTGGTGGAGTCTCTCTGTGATATGTAGAGTCTATCAGAGCTCATTCCTCATTTTTTTTTTCCTGGAAAATTAACCTTCTGAGCTCAAGACACACAACTTTCCTAGAAATCAGTCATTTTGCTAACCCGGAGGTTGCGTGCTGTGATGTTGGTGATGTTGATGATATTGGTGAGAGTTGCCATCACTGAGCACCTGCCGCGTGCCAGGCGCTGTTTGAGAGCTTTCCAGGGATTATGTCATTTAATTCTCTCGTCACCTAGAGATACAGGGTACTGTTATCCCCACTTAATGATGAGGAAACCGAAACCCACGAAGTGTAGTGCTTTGCTGAAGGTCCTGCAACTGCAATGAAGTGGAGCTGGTATTCGAACCCAGCACACTGACTCCAGAGCCCGTCCTCCGAGGGCCAGGTTCCACCACTGTGCACCTAAGCGAGCTCAGGCAACCACTTCTCTTCTCTGAAGAATAAGGCAGTTTCTTTCCACTTAGAATTCTGCAGTTCCAAAGTTTAGACGTGGCTTCCCCTGGAGTGTTACCTTCTCCCAATGTGAGAAGAAATTTACAGGTGTTCTGAGCCACTGCAGCTTGGGTCCCTTTTCATGCATTTTCTGTTCTGGGGAAGAGGGACTTGCTCAGCCCGAGCTGAGCCTGAGGACTGACCCTTGACCATAGTTAATAACTAACCCATGCCCAGAGTCAAGGGCAGAGCTTGGTGCATTCTACTACAAACTTGCTGGGAGTGGGAGAAGAAAACTCGTTCATGTTACATTTTCCTGTTACTTTCATGTGACAAATAACCCATTGTCAACTCTCTCTCTATGGTAGATTGTTATCCAGAGGAACCAGGGAGTTTGCAGGAACACTTCAGAGCAGTGTGATCCTCAGCCAGTGCCAAAGGCATGACTAAGTTAATTCCAGTGCTGTGGACTGATTTTTGCCTTTCCCAAATTGGGTCCCTGGACCCTCTTCTTCTTTTTTTTTTTTTTTGCTCTTTTTTTCTTCTTGAGATCCCCCTGGACTCTAGACTCTATATAACCAGTGACAGACAAATGCTGACTCAACCCAACCAGGCTTTCTACAAGGAATCCGTGATCTGATCCATGTCATCTTAATTCCCCAACCCATGCTCTGCCAGCAGGATAGTCTCCAACCAGACAAAGCAGAAAGGAATGTGAGAACATCAGCCTCTCCTATCAGGAAAGGAATCGTGGCTGAATTTCTGTCTCAGGAGTGCCTTGAGGAAAAAACAATTCTCTAGAATTAGATGCTCTATTATAAAATTATTAGTAAGGAAATCTAAGTGCTTGGTTAAAGATATTTGAAGAGTCTACATACTTCTCTTTCCAGGTGACAGAGCAACAAATGGTGCACTGGCCTCGGTCTCCATGATCCCAGCATCTGCCACCCTGGGAGCATCTCCCAACACTCTGAATTCTGAAGCCAGCACAAAGGTCTGGACAGTTCCTTAGGTGCTGTCTACCTAGGGTCCAGCCCTTAGTGGCTTTGAGGGCTTAGAGCTGTTTGTTTCTGACTTGGTTCTTTTTCTCTTTGTGATTATCTCTGTTCTTGCCATCTTTTTTGGTATCAATCATACCTCTGGCTATGGAAGTAATGCTATTACATTTTCAGTCATGCATACCCTGTGGGTTATTTCTGGAGAGGGGAAGTTTCTTTTTTTAACCCACTGAAGCCAGTTCTTTTCTGCTTGGATCAAAGATGTACCATATTTTCAAGGGGCCATTTTAGTTGCACGGAGCCTCCACTAACCAACTCAGCCAATTTGTAATTGCGTACTCTTTACAATAGCCTTCAAAAATAATGGCACATATTTTAAAATTCCTACTTCGATTGTATATGTATTTATTTTTTTGAGACGGGGTCTTTCTATGTTGCCTAGGCTGATCTAAAACTCCTGGGCTCAGAGGATCCTCCCACCTCAGCCTCCCGAGTAACTAGGACTACGGGTGTGAGCCACTGCCCTGGCTTGTATATTACTTTTGTGTCCAGAAATAAAGTTACAAAAGAGTTTTCTCTGTTTTTGGAGGAATCAGATCACTCCAGAAACCTACCACCTGAAAAATACACACTTTTACATTTTTGTTGTCTTCTTAAATTCTTGCCTATGCTTTTTTCATGTTGTTAATCCAAAAATGAAGATGCTTTTGCAAAAATGCTGGATTTGATAATATTAAAATACATATTCTGTTTTCTAACTGTGATAATTGAGATTCTCCAGTCAAACCAGGTGAAGTCTGAATTTTAATCAGGACCTGGCATTCCAAACCAGGGCCAGGACCTTGAGCACTGTCTGCCCCTGACACTAGGAGTGGCATCCTGAGAGAAAGGAAGGGGCTGATCTTCAGAGCACATGAGATTTATTCTTTGTCCTGGGCTCTAGGACTTAAAAAGAATCTTTGAAATTGTATTCAGATCATAATTTAATAGCAAAACTGAGTACAGAGTGGTCAGAATCACCAAGCTTTCAATATGTTACTTTAGAATTAATGTGGCATAAGTATTCCAAGGGATTTAGACTAAAGTATAAAAACATGGTTTTAAAAACTGACACTAAGAGATGCACCCTGCTCTTTCTCAAAATGGACCCACTGGAGTGGTGGGTTAGAAACATTTAAACCTCTAAAATGAGGATCCCTGCTAAGTGGTTGTATCTCTTCTTCAAGGAGGTAGCTGTGTACAGGATGCATGGGAAACACAGAGGCCACTGTGTCATTGTCAACAACCACAGATTTACCTCCACCTCCCTGCCAGACAGACCAGGGACCCATAAAGATGCTGGTAAGAAAAGCCTGAAATAGTTTATCAAATGCAATTTGGAGATTTTTTTTTAAGAGATGGGTTCTCACTTTGTCTGCTGGAGATCTTAAAATTCTTTTTTATTTTCACATTTTCTCTCTGTAACTTTTATCATCCATACAAATGTAAGGATGATATCATAAATGTTTCTGAGCCTCTTGTATATTCCTGGGTATCACCAATTGCTAAAGAGTGACAAGAGTCCCTGACTATTTACACCTTTGTGGCTTGGGGAGAGCACACAGGGTCGACACAAGAAAACCTGGGCTTGGGCTCTGGCTCCGCCACTAGCTAAGTTTGGGACTGTGGGAGAGTCGTGGGACTGCAGCTTCCTCATTTGTGAAACAGGATGAAACGCTGATCACGGCTGACTCTCAGGACTGTTGTGACAACACTGGGTACTACAGGCAGGCAGTTTCATTGTAAGATTTTGTTGTTCCGACAGTAAAAATAATCCAAAACTTTAGACTATTTGCTGTGCAATTTTTAGAACTAATTAGCATTGTTTCACTTTCTCATTTTATTTTGTTTTGCTTCATTTCACTATTTCCCCTTCCCCTCCTTTTCTTGCAGAGTCCCTGAAGCGTGTGTTTCAGTGGCTTGGGTTCACAGTACACACACATGTTGATGTGACCAAAGGGCGTATGGATGAGGTTCTGCAGGAACAGAAGAGCCATCCGGGCCATGCTGACGGGGACTGCTTCGTGTTCTGTGTTCTGACCCATGGGAAAGATAGGATGGTCTACTCTTCAGACGGGGTCCCCATTCCCATTGGGGAGATCCTATCTCACTTCACAGCCCAGCAGTGCCCTGGACTGGTTGGAAAACCTAAGCTCTTTTTCATCCAGGCCTGCCAAGGCGAAGCGATACAACCTTCTGTGCCCATTGAAGCAGATGCCCTGAACCCTGAGGACACATTCCCGCCTCTGGAGTACAGAATTCCCATCACGGTGGATTTCCTGCTTGGGCTGTCCACTGTCCCAGGCTATCTATCCTTTCGACACATGGAGGAAGGCAGCTGGTATATTCAGTCTCTGTGTAAGCATCTGAAGAACTTTGTCCTAAGGTAAGAGTTCTGAGTTTTTCCATCCATCTGCCTGTTCATCAGTCCACCTGTCCACCTACCCGTTTATCTGTCTATGCATCCGTCCATCCATCTTTCCATCCATCCATCCATCCACCCATCCATCCCTCCATTTATAACAACCTTGTACTGAGTACCAGATGGACCTGGAAAGGAAGATATAGAATAAAGAAAGACACAGTCCCCGGCCTCATCTTGCTCATAAGCTTGAGAGATAGAAAAACACAGACAGGGAAGAGCATCCCCAGGTGCTAAATACATGTCGTAAAGCACAGGTGTTATGGGAATGCACAGGACGAGTACCTCACCCAGATTTGGAGGATCAGAGGAGGTCTATTAATAGAAATGACAAATAGATGTTAGGCAAAAAATCAGGGTGAAAGACTTGTTGGGCAGAGGAGACAGCATGAACAAAGGCACGGGGGCCTTTTATTTGTCCCTTCCTTTATAATTTATTAGGCACTCATATTTGCTGAGCACCTATGTGCTGTCTTTGGCATTCTATTTGCCACTGACAACTTCCCTTCTGCCACATGCTCCTTTTCTGTACCCTGGAAATGGGCCTTCACCAGGGTTCTTCCCTGGACCCCCTTTTCTGCACTTGCACATTCATTCTCTCTCTCCCGCCACTCCCCTCTTGGCAGCTTTAGCTATACCTAGAGGCCACTGGCACCTCCATGAAAAGGTCTCCATATTGCCATCTGTGGTCCACTCATCTCTGAATTCTTGGGCAGAGACCCTGTTTCATTCAGCTTTATATCCTCAGCACCTGACACAGTATCTGATATGTTGTTGGGCTTGATAAAAATTTGCTGGACCAAGGAATGACTGCCTGAGCCAGCCACATTCATAGCCTGCCAGACATCCTACCTTTGTGTTGCCCTGGGACCTCACATTCAGTATGCATCTTCCTGAACTCATCTTCCCAGCCTTCTCCAGGAGCTCCTACTCCTCAATCCTCATTTCTAGCAATGGCCACCGTGCTCTTCTGGGAATTCAAGACTGGAGCCTTGAGTCAACTTTTCCCTCTTCTTTACCAACCCCTGCATCCCCGCCACAGCCATCAAAGGCCAATGAGTATGGCTTTGGGAACAAGGCAATATTTATTCAGGGCCTACTATGTGCTCACTATACTGGGTACTAGGGGCTGCAGCAGTTGTGAACAAGAGAGATGTTATCTCCTCTCCATGGAGCTAACAGTCCAGTGAGGGGAAGACACATAATAAAAATGTAAGTGAATATTTAACTCATTATTATTATTGAAAAAAATTTAACAGTTTATTAAAAGGAGATGGTATGCAAGCGTGACTAAGCAATGCCTATTTTTTGCTACTCCAGAAATGTCTTTTTTGTGTTTTATTTTTTAATTGATACATTGTAATTATACATATTTGTGGGCTACAATTTGATATTTTGATACATATACTTTGTATAATGATCAAATCACAGTAGTTAGTGTATACATCACCTCATATATTTATCATTTCTTTGTGGTGAGAAACTCCAAAAGCCTCTCTTCTAGTTATTTTGTGACATACAATACTTTACTGTTAACTATGGTTGCCCCACTGTGCAATAGAATACCACAGCTCAGGGAAGCGTGGAAGAGGGTTTAAGGATGTACAATTACCTATTGGGTACAATGTACACTATTTGAGTGATGGGTGCACCAAAAGCCCAGACTTCACCACTATACAATATATCCATGTAACAACACTCCACGTGTAACCCGTAAATCTATTGGGAAAAAATTAACACCAGAGCTTATTCCTCCCTGTACAATTGTAACTTTGTACCCATTCACCAACCTTTCCCCATCTTCCCTTCCTCCCTCCTCCTCCTCACTAGTCGCTCATAACCACTGTTCTACTCTCTGCTTCTATGATATGAACTTTTTTGTTTTATATTCCACATATGAGTGAGAACGTGTTTTTTTTTTTTTTTCTTTTCTGTGTCTGGTTTATTTCATTTAACATTATGTCTTCTGGGTTCATCCATGTTATTGCAAATGACAGGATTTCATTGTTTTTTTTATGGCTGACTGGTATTCCGCTGTGTATATACACCACATCATTTTTATCCATTCCTCCATTGTTGGACATTTAGGTTGATTCCATATCTCACCTGTTGTAAATAGTGCTGAAATAAACATGGAGTGCACAGGTATCTTTGAATATTGATTTCATTTCCTTTGCATGTATACTCAGTAGTGGGATTGCTGGATCATATGGTAGTTCTATATTTAATTTTTTGAGGAACCTCCATACTGTTTTCCATAATTCCCATACTAATTTATAATCCCACCAACAGTGTGTGAGTGTTCCCTTTTCTCCACATCCTTGCCAACACTTGTTTTCTTTTGTCTTTTTGATAATAGCCATTCTAACTGGAGTGAGGTGATATTTCATTGGTGTTTTGATTTGCATTTCCCTCATGTTGAGCATTTGTTCTTATATTTTTTAGCCATTTGTTTATCTTCTTTTGAGAAATGTCTATTAAGGTTTTTTTGCCCATTTTAAATTGGGTTATTTGGCTTTTTCCCCCCTTGCTATTGAGTTGTGTGAGTTCCTTCTATAGTCTGGCTATTAACCCCTTGTGGGATGTACAGTTTGCAGATATTTTCTCCATTCTATAGATTATCTCTTCACTCTGTTAATTATTTCCTTTACTGTGCAAAAGCTTTTTAGTTTGATAAAATCCAGTTTGTCTATTTTTGCTTTTATTCTCTATGCTGTTGAGGTCTTATTTAAAAAAATCTATGCCCAGCCCAATGTTGTAAAGTGCTTGCCTTATGTTTTCTTCCAGTAGTTTCATAGTTTCAGGTTTTATGTTTAAGTCTTTAATCCATTTTAAGTTGATTTTTGCATATGGTGAAAGGTAGGTGTCATTCTTCTGCCTGTGGATATCCAATTTTTCTAGCACCATTTATCGAAGAGACTGTCTTTCCCTCAATGTGTGTTCTTGGCATCTTTGTCGAAAATCAGTTGGCTGTAGGTATGTGAATTTATTTCTGGGCTTTCTATTCTGTTCCATTGGTCTGTGTGTCTGTTTTTATGCGAGTACCATGCTGTTTTGTTTACTATAGCTTTGTAGTGTATTTTAAAGTCAGATGGTGTGATACCTCCAGCTTTGTACTTTTTGCTTAGAATCGCTTTTGCTGCTTGGGGTCTTTTGTGGTTCCATATGAATTTTAAGATCATGTTTTCTATTTCTGTGAAGCGATAGGGTCTCACTTTGTTGCCCAGGCTGGCCTCAAACTCCTAGACTCAAGTGATTGTTCCCCCTCAGCCTCCTGAGTAGTCGGACTTCAGGCACACTATTACACCTGGCTTGTCATTGGTATTTTGGTAGGGATTGCATTAAATCTATAGAACACTTGGGTAGTATGGCTGTTTTAACTAGATTAATTTTTCTATTCCATGAACATGTGATATCCTTCCATTTTTTAGTGTCCTCTTCAATTTCTTCCATCAATATTTTATGTCTTTAAGTGTTTTAAGTGTCCTGTTTATCTTTGTATCTCTCCCAAAACCAAGAATGGAGAGGGCACTATTAATGTAACATGGTATCTGCCACATATTTATCTAAGACCTGATATATGGTGTCTGGTATCTGTCTAAGACCTAGTGTGTGGTTTTTACCTTCTGATTGAGAAAAGTTTTCCTCTCTGTCTGCAGACACGAAGACATCTTATCCATCCTCACTGTTGTCAACCATGATGTGAGTCGAAAAGCGGACATCCGTGGAATAAAGAAGCAGATGCCCCAGTCTGCCAACACACTAACAAAAAAAGTAGTATTCCCTGCGCCACCTGGAGCACTTCAGTGGTAGCAGAGAGTCTTCATCGGCCGTTAGACTTGAAAGGAACCTGTGGCTTTGTCCTGCAACCTCCCACCCCGCACAGCAATCAGTGGTGGGTGGTAAGCTGGTCTCCACCTGTGCTTCTCGTGATAGGAAACACCCTGTTTTCAGACACAGTCAATTCTGTTTTTTCTTTTTTTTTTTTGACAAGTCTAAATGTTATAAAACTTTCTTTTTTGAAGACTTGGATTGTTACCTTGGTTTTGGGTGTGTACCCTGAAGAGAGAATCCTTGGCCTCGGTTTACATATCTGTGAAATGCAAAGCGGAACCACGATTATTTTAAGATTCCTTTGAACTCAAAGAACCACCATTCTTAGCCTAGACTGAGCTTAGATTTCCTCTCTGCACAGCCCCCCTGCCTTAGTTACAGCTCTGTGTCCCCTCTGCATGGCCTTGTACATGGGACTGTGAGGCCACATTCCACCTACCTTCCTCTGCTGTCCCCCTTCCTAAGGCTTCTCTTTTGCACATCTAGGAAGTGAAAATTTGGTCTGTGCTCAGCCCATTGCCTGCTTTAGTGTAAGGAAGGTGCTCATACAGGAGCTGTTTTTCGTTGGTTGGGTGTGTACCCCGACGAGAGAATACTTCGCCTTGGTTTACGTATCGGTGGCCTTTTCTTGAGTTTCTGGGGTTCGAACTGTTTCTCTTCAGATGGGAGCAGGTTTGGCTCTAAGAAGATGGCAGCTCAGGGTGAAGAGGGACACACTACGTAGTTCTGAGGTGGAGACTTTTTGTAAAGTCAAATTCCATGTTGGTCAGAACCTTTCTGGTGCTGGTGACAGGACACTGAACTCAAACTCACTAAAGCAAACGAGGGAATCTATTGCCTCTTTCATCTGGAAACCCACGAATGGGTAACACAGGCTTCAGACAAGCTTGAACCAGGACTGTGTCCAGAACAGCACCTTTTCTTGGCTGGACAGTCCCAGGATTTGCAGCTGTGCTGTGTGGACTGCAGTCAACAGTCCCACCTTGTCACTAATACACTTTGCTCCTCTGGCCGAAGGGATGAGGAAGGAGGCTGCCTCAGGGACCGAAGCTGTTCACAAGGATCACTGGGCCCTTTCTGGCCAGAGGAATGCCTGGCTCTGCCTTGAGGGAGTAGCTCTGTATGGAAGCGTTGGTTTTTTTTTTGTTCGTTTGTTTTTTTGAGACAGGTCTTGCTCTGTCACCCAGACTAGAGTGCAGGGGTGTCATCATAGCTCCCTGAACCTCTAACTCAGCCTCCCAAAGTGCTAGGATTACAGCATGAGCCACCTTACCCAGCCTTGATACTTTTTAAATCAAGGCTTTTGAACAATTTTATGTACTTGAGCTTTCTTTTTATTTCAAGAGGAACTTTTTCTTTTTAATTCCTGAAACCACATTTTGAATCCTTAGAGCTTAGACTTAGGTGGGTGGTTGAAGGTCCTGTGGGTACGGCCTCGTTTATGGACGAGGAAGCTGAGGCCCAGGGAGGTACAGCAACTTGCTCACAGTCCTCTAGCCAGTCATTGCTTGCGGAGTCTTATTTCCCACTTACGTGAACTGGAACGCCACGGGACATCACAGGACATCATGAACGTTCCCTGGGATTTGCAGGTGCTCATAAAAGATGTCAGGGAATGAAGACAAATAACTCTCAGGGGTGCCTGACGTTACTTATGTGAAAGTCAAATTCATTTACAGTAAATTTGCTGTAAGAAGTTCATAAGAACCTGTTATGGTATAGCTGGTCACACATGGATTTGAATGTAGCTTGACTGAGGAAATAAGTCGAATGCATGTGTCAGGATGATCTTTCCAAGCCACTGTGCCTGCAAGTCAGGGCTAATGGCTGGTGGTTACAGTCTTTGTCCAGTTGGATACACAAGCCTTTGGCCATTGAGCAGTCCTCTGCTCAGGAAGGGTGGCAAGGTGCACAGGAAGGAGCAAAGGGTCTGAGGGTCAGAGCCTTGGGTTTCCATTTCACCTCTCCACTGCCTTGCTCTGAGACACTACGTCAAGCTAGGTTTTTCGGCCTTATCTGTAGAGGAAATGTTAGCTGTTGGAAAGATGAAGCAGAATGTGTATGTGTGCAGCCATTTAAATCTACTTGTGTGAAGGCGCGTAGAAGGCCTTTAGGTGACAGGGTCTTGGGGCAGTGCCCTCAATGGAAATAACAGGGCTTGAGTTCCTTCGCGCCTTATTCCAGCTGACTTTATTAGCAGCAACTCAAGACTGGCGGTGCCCTCTCACATGCATCCTCTGAGGGAAGAGCTGATTCTCCCCTCACTGCCTCATAGTGTCCGCAGCAGCAGGCAGCCAGCCCTTGGCTCTGAGTTCTGTTGGACAAAATACTGTATTTTTATTTATTTTTTAGTTTTTTTTTTTTCTATTTTTTTTGAGACAGAGTCTCACTCTGTTGCCCAGGCTAGAGTGCTATGGCGTCAGCCTAGCTCACAGCAACCTCAAACTGGGCTCAGGCAACCCTTCTGCCTCAGCCTCCCAAGTAGCTGGGACTACAGGCATGCGCCACCATGCCTGGCTAATTTTTTCTATATATTTTTGGTTGTCCAGCTAATTTCTTTTTATTTTTAGTAGAGACAGGGTCTCGCTCTTGCTCAGGCTGGTCTTGAACTCCTGATCTCGAGCGATCCTCCCACCTCGGCCTCCCAGAGTGCTAGGATTACAGGCGTGAGCCAGACAAAACACTATTGATGAAATCTCTTCATCAGGAACATGTAGAGTTTGATGTTTAAGTTTTGGGCCTGTAGTCTGTTTCATGTTACTATTTTGCTTTACTTAGTGCTTGTGCAAGGTTAAACTTTAGAGTCAGGAACATTCTTTTTAGAGGCCTCCAGCAAGCTCTATAGGGCTCCCTGCACATTTGTGGTTGTGAGTCATGGATACATACAGACAGCAGGAGTGCAATTATCCTTGACTCACATCTCCCAAGCAGGGCATGTGCACACTTGTTTGTGTGTGCCGTCTACGATATAAAATATACTTCTCTGTATTTAAGCGTTTGTATGTGTGTGTGTGTGTGTGTGTGTCTGTGTGAATTTTGAGTCCAGGAATAATAGAGGGTTTGATCACAGCTATTTGGCAATGGCTACAGCCATTGTATGCCCAGATATTTATGAAGGAAAAGATTGAGTGAAGTTCCTGTGTAGTTTGCTAGTTTTGCTCAACGTACAAAGGTTGAAATTAATTTTTCTTTTTTTTGAAACACAGTCTTACCCTGTCACCAGGGCTAGAGTGCAGTAC